GGATTAAATTTTGTATTTACTTCTTAGTAAAGAAGTTTATACATTTTATAAAATACAAATGTTTGATGACTTTAGATAACGTGCACCATATATTGATCCAACACTTTTATTAGAATAACATATTAAATAAAAAATATATATTATAGTAACAAAATTAAAAAATTAATTAATAATATTTTTGAAATATATTTGAAATTTAGAAATTAAAATCGTTTTTATATTAAATTTATCACAAAAATTTATTATATTTTGATTTTTTATATAATTATTTTCTTTACAATTACACTTACAAACTTTTTGACTATATAATAAATTGTGTAATTATATGAAAATTTGACTGTATATTTTAAATTGATTAACAAAAAAAAAATTAATTATAAATATTGATGTTAAAAATTTAGATTATTAGATTTTGATTAATTACTAATAACAAATATAACGAACAATTAAATATAAAAATTCTAATAAATATAATTTTTTTCTATTTGATTATTCCAATAATATTATTTAATTTGTTTAAAGATTTCACATTAACGAAGTTTTTAGTTGAAATAAGACTCTGTTAGAGTGAACTTCACTATGTATTATACATTTTCAATTTGAGAGTAATAAACTATTTGATTTTTTGCATCATTAATATTAAAGCACTCATCTAAACTAACTTTCAAAAGTTTAAGACAATGTTTATTTTGAATTTTACGCATTTTCGAGAGTATATTATTTATTATTATTTACAAACTCTCAAAATTTCGGGAATTAGTGAAAATGCAACGACAATATAAAAGAATCTAACAATCTGAATTTATCAGTCAAAAAAACCAGTAATAATTTAGTTCATAAAACATTAACTTATTTTATTAGCTGCTTAGTAACCATATAATTTAAATTTATTGCACCTGCTTATGTAATTAAGTACCAAAATTTGGTTACCTTCATAAGTTGAAAGATAAACTACTATTATTTCATTATACACTACTATTAAAAATGGTTGGCTTACAAATGTTTTACTATATGGCTTATTTTTTTGATACGTGGACATAAATTAAGGTTATAGGAGAAATGTTCATAAAAAAATCTTAGTGAATTGTCCGCTTATTTGTTCCTCGGACCAGGGTTAACCCTGGCCGATTTTTCCGATGATCGTTCAAGTTTGTATCCCAGAAGAATGTTTTGTTTGGTAGGTTTTGGTGTAGTTGGTTTGCGTGATGTAACGGTAAGTAAACTTGGGTTTTCTTGTTCGAATTGTACTATATCCCCACCTATTTATAATTAAAACAACGGAAAAATTTTTTCTTTGACTGCCAAATCTTACTTTGGTTTGTTCTATGAAAACGCCTTAAAAATAATATCGCTCATAGAGCAGTCTAATGAAAAGCCAAAAATGTTCTTCAGAATCCTTCTCTGCGCTTAAAATAAAGAATAAAACCTTATCTGAAGCAATTGTGAAAGTAAGTATGCATGCGCGTGCGCAAAATTATTTTATATTAAATGTTTTTCCGAGTTTGATATGAAGAATGCTTAAAACAGCGATTTGTCCACTAAAGCCGCAAAGTAAACACCTCATTCAATCATCAGGAACCAATCAATTTTCTGAATTCTCTATCAACCCGTCTATATGCACTTGTTTTTAATTTGCAATTGGCGTTTATCTGTAAGGCTTAGCTGGCTCTTTGAAAAAATCATTATAAAAGTAAAATATTGAATATGATGAATCAATCACCTTTTGTATTGCATTAGACTCGGTCTAAATCAAACTTCAGCTATCTCTTTCGGGACTTTAAGGTGCGAGCGTAACAACAATAAACCGGTTATACGATAATTATAGCCTTTATGAAACATAGACGAGTCTTTCAATAAACTGTAATAATTCTAATAATCTCTAATCTATCGACCTGTTAAACGGTACTTGTTTCGAAACAGAAATTCGATAATCTATACACAAACTTGAAACAATGATTTTAACGCTCTCTTGCATAAGATCAAATTTTCTAGTAGAACTAAACCTTAAATAAATTAAATACGTAAATTTAAATAAATATTACTACGTATTGTACATGTACGTATATGCTTCATTCATTTTATAGTAACGATTATCGACGAAATTTTATTACATAAAAAAAATTATTAATGTGCCAGTGATAATTATGCTATGCTCATAAATTATATATCCAGAGGAGATATCATTTGAGAATCAATAGAGTACTCCTCGCAATATAAATTCATTTTAAAAATAATGAGCCCTGACTGTATTTGTTAGTTTATTTGGATCAATTAATTCCAAGATTTGAAAGATAAATTGTATCGAATAGAATTTTCTGCCGGGGCTTTGCTGAAACTAATAAAATTGGTTGCATTATTTATGTATTGCATCATTACGGATTTAGAGAAAACCGGATGAGTGTATAGGCAGTAAAATGTCAGTATATTAAGTACACTTTTACTATACTACGTTTTACAAATCACCTATACCCTGAACCCTTACCAAACCCTTTTCTGATGATACTGAACTGGTTACCCATACCATCTTCGTATTCCCGCATCATTTTTAACCGATCCCAGAGGATGCTTTAAGAGACGTATAACTATATAACAAAAAATGATTGTAATACTTCTCTTAAGACATACTCTTGGATCGGTCACTGTTAAAGAACGTGTTAGACTGTAGAGTATATGAGTCTTCTTTGTAACATAAGAAACACCCGTATTTTCGTTATTAAGAAACCAGTATCACAATATCATTTACGGGATACGTAAGCTAAAAACTATCAAAGAATTTGAATGTTTACTTATCTAAGATCTCGGCGTAATTACATCACTTTGTCTTTTAGATGGTGTCAAAAAGTCTATTGTTCGAATTGATAGATTGAATTGTATAATGATCTTTAAGCAACAACGCTATATTATTATTATTATTTATGCTAGCAAAAAAAAAAAAGAATGGCGCAAATATCAAAAGTTCCCTGTACTTTTTCAAGTGCAGATTTTATTTTTAATTATATGATGATGGTTTGAAATATGTGGGTTAGTTTAAATGCTTAAAGTGCTATATTAGGCTAAAAGCTCAAAGCAATATATATTCTTTATACATAAAATGAATAATCAACCGGATCTCGGATCACTTCATTAGATGTCCTTGCCAAAGAAATTTGTTATCATATATGCACAAATCTCGTTTTTGAACTGAACCACTGCAGTATTCTTGAGTTTCTATCCTATCGTTATCAAATGTCAAAGCTTTTAGAAGACCTGATTGTTATTATTGTTGTCGCACTGATCTCCAATCAAGACAGGCACACCTATGCGTTCCAGCAGCGTTTAATTAAATCATAATACAGCATAACCTCCCGAAACTCGCATTCTTTAAATGAATTTTATACCTGTATTTAGGATAACTATTGTAATACTGTTATACTTCCACCAATGCATACGCTTGGAACCGATACTATAAAATCATTTAAAAGTGTGTGACTTTAGCGAGGCGAGGTTAGACTGTGTATTCAATTGCGAACACATATCAGATAAGTCAACCTTTTTTTAATATAACAAATACAATCTTAAATGGAATCAACTATATAACAAAATATTTTTTTAATTAATATGCATGTAACTTGTGTAAAATATTCGATAATAAAGTATTTTTTTAATATATATAAAATAAATGTCTACATGATAAACGCTATTGTTTTACGTATTTTAAAAACAACGGCTAAACTTATGAATCACAGATCTGAAACACATGTACGTGTAATACAAAGAAAATTAAAACTATAACGATCCTTGTTGTTACCTGGCGAATTATATTTAATATCGATATAAGTTACTTTCTTATAATGATAAAAATTGCATATATAAGGGTTGTTTAAGTTAGATTACAATAAGAAAATAAGAAACTGCTACACAAAATTTAGTCTATTCAATATCGAACCTTATAATGTCTTCTTTGAACATTTTCCGCAATAAGATCTTATATCATTATTACATCATTTAATTTATTAAAGTATCAGCTCGAAAGTAAATCAAACTCTAAAACTGTACATTATTTTTTACTCATCTAGATCGCTTACTAGTAATTAATAATTCCTGTTCCCACAGAAAAGTAAATCAAGAAAAGACTTTGATACGTTAAGATTCTCCGTGTGTTATAACTACGTGAATTCCTTGCTTAAATAATCATACATGCACTTGAAAATGTTTAAGAACAATATACTTGGATATATTTACTAAACGATGGGTCAAATAACAGATAACTGTTATACCAACCGCTGGATTACCAAATGTGCTTCAATTACGGGTGCACTTTAGCCTAACAATATTTTTATAATGTTTCTAATTAACTGGGCACTAATTTTGTGAGAGCGTCTTTTAACATTTTAATTAAGTAAAAATTATTTTTAGATGCTGTGGAAAACTTCATTGATATCAACCAAGAACTTTACCAATAAACATTGATTGCAACTTTTGCTAGCGATTTTAACTTTATGCCGTATTTTTCCGAAATAAACATCGCTCGAAATTAAAAATAAGCATCATCACCAACGTCAACAAGTACATGAGTCTTGAACAGAACATTCATACCCGAAATCAACCAAAAAAGAGTATTTGAGTTCGGAAAAATCCTATATATAAGCAGTTTACATCGATTCGTGTAAGAGCTTACGTCCTCCATAATTTTCTTTTTCATTTAACAGATGGGAAAATTTATATTTAGGACGGAGTGTGTTTATTGCTTGTATGCTTTAGATACTAAACTTTATTTGTTGCTTGCTGTATATATTTTATTATAAACAATTTCCCGTCGTAAAAATTTGTGATTATAAATCATCCGAATACCCTGTGTTCTCTCTTCTTTATGATTTTACAATTTACGTAGTTCGTTGTCTAAATCTTATATATGCATTCCATTTTCGTGGATCTAATTGTGTTAGACAAGGACAAATAGGACAAACAGCACATATTATTATTTATTAGTTAGTGGTATATTCACATGCAATAATAAGCATATCGATATTCGAGTACGTATTGTTTGTCTTTCTTTATTGATTACCGAAAATTGTCCGAGTTTCTAAGATTAACATTACATAATTTTTAAAAGTTTTTTACAATATATTATTTAACATAATTTAAAGATTTATTTTAATATCATAATAATATTATTAACTTAATTTAATTTGAATATCATATTATTAACTTAATTTAATTTGAATACGTATCATATTATTAACATAATTTAAGAGTCTTATTAACGGGATTTAGAATTTAAATATCATAATGGAAATGTTGGGGTACTATTGACCCCTAACCCTGATAAATTTTGACCTTTTGTTGCCCGGAAGAGTAGAAGTTATGCTTAACCGGAAGATTGCGAGATTTTGCGTAAATTTCGTATTCACGAACGGTAGTATTTGAAGGTTCGGGGATTATTGAGATTTGGATATTGAGAGGATAGTTATCTTTCTTTTGTTTTGATAGAAAGATTTTTTTGAATGAATTTTCTTGCTCGAATGTGTGTTATTTTATAGTTAATCAGGTCAAGAAAAATCGAAGCCCAATACATTATCATAGTGTAAAAGCGGATGCAATATTATTGTTCTCCTGTTCGACGAAAATGTCTTTGTTTCGGATTCAGAATAAAAGACCATCTCATCAGAAAAATTTTCTTTTTGTGTTGAAATTTCTATATTCGGGTGAAGTTAATTTTTGTCCGATTATTCGTTTAGACATTTGAAAATGAATATTCTTAATAAAAAAAAACATAAAATAGAATGATGGAATTGCAAGTAAACATTTACGGCGATTAGAAAGCAGGAAGCGCATTATTTTGTTTCACAACTCTTTGCTATCTAGAAAATTCTTGCCCCGGTATCTTGTTTATTGTACAAACTCATTTTTTTTTGAAATATAATTTGAATGGTTCGTAGTAACGGATATTCGGACAGTTCACCGTATTTATTTTGACGTAATTTGTGTATCTAATTCAACCATTTTGTATGCATACTACAATCCATACCGTAAACATTCTCATAGCGATAGATTCTTTGTGTAGGTCTCGACAACAATGAGCACATAATATGTCGTCAAATCATCCATTTTTCCACAAAATTTTATTTGACGTGCTTTTTAACTACGCATCCTCAAAGTTTTTTGCCAATGGAAACTTTCCTTTTTTACGAGAGAAATTTTTGTGCGTGTGGATTTTTTAACTGATGTTTATTTATTGTTTCAGGATTTCTGAGGTTCTATTGTTTCATCTTATTTTTTTATAAAGCAAGAATAGAATAATAAAATAATAGAATAGTAAAATAATAAAATAAATAGACAGTAATCTATTCTGCAGTAAAAAAATCATCGAATGAAAAGTTTCCACTTTGTTGCTATTGTCGGTTTTCGTTTTTGTCGTGGACAATGAATAATATATTCGTTCTGGTTTTTTTTCTTTTTTCACTGATGACATAATATCTAACGTTAAGATTTTTACTAACACCTGATATACTATCATGCGTTGTATTTGCAAAATCCAGACTGTTCGTTGATTTTTCATTGTAGAAATGAGTGCAGGTAATCAAAGATCACATGACATAACATTACATATTTGTTTATCGTTACGTATAATTACACCCATGTATAAATTTCAAATTCTCGCATAATGTACGTATTTTGTCCAGATGTCTTTAGAACAGGGGAATTACCATTACATATAAGTTTCATCAAATGCTGTGCTATTTGCAAGACAACAAATACAGTATTCTCGTTAGATCCTTTTCTTCCAGACACCTAAAAACCTTTTTCAAAGCCCAAAAGGTTTTCTGAATGATAGAGCACTTGAAATGCAACAGATAGCAGGTTCTATGTATTAAAAGTGGTGAGATAACCAGATTATTTTTTGTTTTCTATAAATCCAAACTTTTTTTAGATAGATATATGTTTTCGTTCGATGTTTGCAAACCTGAAAGATTGCTATGTTCCAAAAACAGTCAACAGAGGAAGGCTTTTGAAGTATTCAGCTGATAAAAAATAACAACAGACACGAGATAAAACTTGTAGAGTCAGGAAAATAATTTTTTTTGCAGCGACCGAACGAAGGTAACTGGTGGTATATTTCTTGACCTTTCGATAACATGCATGCAAAGACGTAGCTGAGTGTATGCGTATACATTGATGTAAGTGTCGTTATCTTGGCAAAAACGCTTACCGAATATTGATATAGCAATAATAGAAGTCTATCCAGTGAAAAGTTGAATAGTTTCCTTTCTGAAGTATGAATAAAATAATTTAACGATTGATGCGAGAAACGCGAAACAAGGAGAATCGTTCAAGGCTTCTTGCTTCTATAGAAAGATTCTTGGGACCTACTAGTAAAAAAAAAATTATTATAAAAGAAAGAACAATTCCAGCAGAAAAATAATCAGCAACAAATTCGCAATAAAACAGTATCCAAAATAAGCAACATCTCTTTCTTTCTTTTCACAATCCACCAATATGCATAACTTCACATAAATCGAACGCCATTTTATAAAATTATGAAAAATAACTAAATATGACT